AAACTTATTCTTGAAGAAATTTTGAATGATAATTAGATGTTTGTGAGGAAGTGAATAAAGGCTGTCGATAATTTTCTTCTTAAAATTGGTCTGATCAAAACATATTCTGGCAATTCGATTGTTATTGAGTAATAATGTTTATAATAATGATTTATGAGTAATGCTTTGAGTTCCTTATTTACAGATATAATGCTTTAAATTTTGCTTTGTAAGTGACATTTTTAGGAGATTCATGTTTTTGATCAATTTGAAATGTGATTAACATTAGCTTAGAATGCCAGTTTGATAATTATATTCGTAGAGATTATCCTAGCCACATTATAAAATCAATGCGATTCTTAAGATTTATTTTTGCCAAATTTTCTAATACGAGGGTTGCTATTTATATTTCTGGCCTAATAATAAAAAAAGAAATGTTTGTGATCAAAATTGGTTTTATTGTTTTTCAAAATATTCTCCATGAAGATCTATATACTTTTGCATGCATTTGAACCAAATTTTAAAGAACGTTTCCCACTCCAATTGAGGTAATTCCAAAACATGCATTTTGAATGCATCAACCGCTTCTTTGGGAATTGCAAATCGCTGACTACATAATTTATTTTTGATGTGCTGGAATAACAGAAAATTATTGGGTACCAAATCAGGGCTGTGCGGAAAGTGACACATCTATTCGATGTTTTGGCTTGTCAAAAATTCCTTTGTTTGAACAGATGTGTAAGAGCTTGCATTGTCATGATGAAGAATGATTCGCCTCTTTTTCTGCTTTCTTTTTCCAATTTCTTCAATGACGTCTGGTAAACAAATGGTCATGTACCATTCGGAATTAATCCTTCTGCGTTGCTCTGATGCCAATGTCACCACATGACCAACAGTGCCGAAGAAACAGGCAACCGTTTGCTTCAGTGTGCTTCTTCTGCGAACAATTTTTGTTGGATTTGGCTCATCTTGGAAGACCCACACAGTCGACTACTGTTTTGGGCTCGTATGCATCATGATTCATCCCCGTATAAATGTTATTCACAGCCTTTGATGCACCTTTAACATATTTTTCCAACATTTCCTTGCACCACTCGACATGAGCCTTCTTTTAAGTATTTGTCAGATTATGTGTGATCCAACGTGAACAATTTTTTTTTACAGCCAAATATTCATGTAATATCTTATTGATGCTTGTCGTACTAATGCCCAAAGATGCCTCAATCTCTGGTATGTCACATGATGATCTTGCTTTATCAGTTCATGCACAACATCGATATTTTCTAATTCTTTCTAATAATATAATAAAAGATATCTTTCTAATATATCGATATCTCACGCACAGCAACAACCGATTTTGAACGACCTTTATGGAATTCGTCCTGGAGCGAACGTCGACCGTGACTGAATTCGTTATACCAGTTTTTTTTTATAGTGCTGTAGAATGGTGCTTTATCACTGTATAAGGAATTAAGATAATCGAATACCACATCGAAAGTTATGAAAAGTAACCGCACGAAAATGTTCACAGGTCAGTTCTATTTTTTGCCCGGCATGAGTTTTTCAGTTTACTGTAAACAACACGACATGAATTTTTCAGTTTACTGTGAAAAGTAATTTGTTGTAACTGTAAACAACACAAGTCACGCTAAAATGGCAAAACATTCTGAAGAAGTTATGGTTAAAAATATCAAACTTTTGATTGGAATTGTCTGCAGTTGCCTAGCAATACTTACTGTTGCCAAGGCCAGAAAAATGAATAGCAACCTTTGTATTAATCTAAATTCTTTTCAGAGGCAGTAAATCATTTGTAAAACCAAATATATTCTTTTTTAATTGGCAAAAATGCAAAATCAGTGAACAGTTGATTTAACTATTGCATTATTAAAAAAAAAAATGAGAACCCTTGCCACTTTATAGCTGAATTCATTTTCTGACAACAGGGTAGTTTAAAAACACTTTTAAGATTTACGCTGTATATTCATACAGGGTATTGAAACAAGTGCTACTGATATATGTGCTGCTTTGATGACTGGAAGGTGAAGGTGCTCATAGAAAAATACAATGCCTGGTGCATATTAAACTCGCTGGTCAATAAACTCGGGCACTTATTAAGATTAGATTGCCAGGGAGCAAAACAAACATGTACTAATCAATAGAAAAGTTGCCGGTTATCAAACTCTTCTCTGCTGCTTATAAACTAGGATTGGCAAAGGACGTTCTTTAGTGCTAGAATATCTTACTTGTACCTATCAAAACGTTTTGTTGGTCATCCATTTAATGGATTGACTGTGGCTTTATTGAAATATGTTGTATTTCAATAAAACAGGTATGACTGAAATTTTCTTGCCATTCCTAGTCCCTGTACTTATGAGATACTGTTTTCAGAGTTCTTTGTTCATATAGGACTTCAGAGGAGCAGTAGTTCCTTATTTTAAAGTTAACAAAAACAATTCTATAGAGATGTTCGAAATGAGTAAGGTGTCCTTGAATACCAGCTGCTAGGAGGTGAAAATGCAGCTTCTGTACCCCATCTTTTAAGGTTTCCACCTTTAAAATCCTCATCTTGTTACAGCTACAGTGTGTTAAAACTATAGCTACAGAGTTATACCTCTTGCTACAGCTGCAGAGTTCACGAATTGCTTCTAAGCATTACAGTTTTTGAATGGAAAGGAAGTGGTATCTGTATACTGAAGAAAAAAGGAAGGGAAGCATTGGTATATTCAAGTGTGAATATGTTTGAATGCCCATTACATGTTTAATGGCAAAAAGAAAAACTGCATTTTTTTGCTGTATTGGAAATTTTCAAAATGGTCTTTGATAAATTGCACCAATTTGTAATTTAGTAGCAAAGCAATTTAACACGTTGACTGCCGTGGGAGTTACCGGGGACCGGCACTCGGTTACAGCGCTGTGGGTGCTACCGGTGACGTGACCAATGGTAAAATACATAATTGGAGTAAATATTGATACTGATAAATTTTTAAATAGTACCATTGTTATTATAATGGTTTGAAGAATAATAAATAATAAAAATTTAAATTATAAATTGCAATAATGGTCTACAGAGCCTTAGGGGATGGCCGGTGACCCCACCACTACGAAAAATGCATTAAGCACGATTATATAACTCACATTAACTTCTGTAGATAATATTTCAACATACACTGAAGTGACGAACTGCAGCAACTCGACGTGGCATGGACTCAACAAGTCATTGGAAGTCCCCTGCAGGAATATTGAGCCATGCTGCCTCTATAGACGTCCATAATTGTGAAAGTGTTGACGGTGCAGGGTTTTGGACACAAACTGACCTCTCGATGATGTCCCATAAATGTTCGATGGGATTCATGTCGGGCGATCCTAGGTGGCCAGATCGTTCGCTGGAATTGTCCAGAATGTTCTTCTAACCAATCGCGAACAATTGTGGCCCGGTGACATGACGCATTGTCATCCATAAAAATCCCATCGTTGTTTGAGTACGTGAAGTCCATGAATGGCTGTAAGTGATCTCCAAGTAGCTGAAGGTATCCATTTCCTGTCAATCGGTTCAGTTGCACCAGAGGACCCAGTCCATGCCATGTAAAACAGCCCAGACCATTATGGAACCACCACCAGCTTGAACAGTGCCTTGTTGACAACTTGGGTCCATGGCTTTGTGGGGTCTGCGCCATACTCGAACCCTACCATCAGCTCTTACCAACTGAAATCGTGACTCATCTGACCAAGCCACGGTTTTCCATTCGTTTAGGGACCAACCGATATGCTCACGAGCCCACCAGAGTCGCTGCAGACGATGTCGTGCTGTAAGTAAAGGCACTCGAGTCGATCTTCTGCTGCCATAGCCCAAGGAAGACAAATTTCGCCGCACTGTCCTATCGGACACGTCCCTCATACGCCCCACATTGATTTCTGCGGTTATTTGACGCAGACGTTGCTGGTCTCGGTCGTTAAGTGCAGATGGTCGGCCACTGCGCTGTCCATGGTGGGATGTTATGCCTGAAATTAGATACTCTCGGCACACTCTTGACACTGTGTATCTCGGAATGTTGAATTCCCTAACGATATCCGAAATGGAATGACCCATGCGTCTAGCTCCAACTACCATTCCATGTTCAAAGTCTGTTAATTCTCGTCGTGTGGCCATAATCACGTCAAAGCCTCTTCACATGAATAACTTGAACACAAATGAAAGCCCTGCCAAAGCACTTCACATTTATACATTTTCTATGCGATACTACTGCCATCTGTATATTTGCATATTGCTATCCCATGACTTTTGTCACTTCAGTGTAATATACATTGCATAATCAGCATTTCATGTTGGCGTCATGGGCAAACCACATAAAATGCACGCGGCAGTCAATGGTCTGGTAATGGAGAAGTAACTCAAATGTTATTTATTTGTTATGTAATTCAAGTTAAATTCATAGCTATAGAAACTAGGTATTTACATGTTATCGCAACCACCTTATTAGAAGTCGCCAGATGGTGCCAAACTCTGGCAACAATGTGCATACAGAATTTTGTTGAAAATTTCTTAAAGAGGACAATGAGGAAATGCATTTCATAGATAGCCACTGTTGCCGAGATTTGCATGAAGTTGAGTCTCTGTAAATTGTCTGATTTTTTTTTTTAAGAGAAAAAAGATTGCTGTGTACTCGATAAGAAGAATAGTGAAGAAAAATTACAGAGAGATTTGATAAAGAATTAAAGTGTTTTATTTTTAAAAGATACATATTTGGTAATTAATATTTTTGTATCGCTAGAGTATATTTCTTTTCATATGTTTGTCTTTCATACAATGTTTACCGACTTATGGTAGATATACATAGTTTGGGAACATTCTTAAAAAGTATTTTCCACATTAATTTAAATTAGTGGATATCGTGAATTAAAACATGTTGCTACTGATTACTTTAGTATTGGGTAGAATATTTGCTTCCTAGACTGTACATAATGCATAATTGTTTCTTTCATTTTCATTTATTATGGAATGTAGAAGAATTAATTTATTATAGTTATGCTACGCAGAGGTGCTTTGATTGTTTTGGAAGGTTGTGATCGTGTAGGCAAGTCCACCCATGCTAAACTGCTATATGAAGCTCTAAAAGAAGAAGGTCTGAAAGTAGAAGCAATTCAGTTTCCAGGTATGTTATTTTTATTGCTAGTGTATTAAATATTGCAATATTACCTGTTGCAAGTCATTTAATTGTAAGTATGTTGGTAAATGCTTACAATTAAACTAACATTCATAAGTTTCTTTATACAGCATGTATTTAGAAAAATGTCTGTTTATGAGAGGCTTTTAATGCTTATGTTTTCAAAATATTATTATTAAATATAAAATGTTCCGAGTTAAACTTCAAAAACAATCTGTTGAAGTGAATTTTCATCAGAATATTAGAAGAGTATTTTTCATGTAAACATTAGCAACAGATTTTTTTTTTTTTTTTTTTTTAACCCAAAACCATGTATAAAGTATTTACTACAAAACTATAATAATAAAAATTACATTGAAAATTGGTATAAAAGTCGAATATAGCTCTTAAATTTTGTTAGTCCTTATTTTTAAATTATCTAACAAATAGTTTTTCAGTTTGTATTATTCTTTTTTGATTAAACTATGCGCAGTATTTTCTGGTTATCTGTGCCTCCACCAAAAATTTGCAAACTCTTTGGAGAGCATTCCTGAATGCAGTGTCAACTTTTGTAAGAAATAGTGTACTCCTTAGCAAGATTCAGAATTTTTGCTAACCTAATGTGCCAAAAGCAAGAACATTTATAACATTGTTATTTATTTGCCTCACAACTGTAGCATATTTTAGTTACTTAACTGAATTGCCTCATAAATAATTTTTCACTAGATTTTAGTGGGTGTACAGTTAATCAGAAAGTGTTTTATCTTCTTTTATTTGATACAGTACAATATATCTTTTTCCAATTTCCCCTTTCTTCTTTTTGTCCTAAATTAAATACTTCTTGATAAATTTTTAGAAGTTTCACTTTTTTACCACATTAGTTTTTATTTATTTATTTGTTTTTCTTGCCTTTTATTCTGCTTCTTGAGCAAAATTGTCTTCATTAATCACCATAAGATTGTCATTCACATTTGAAATTGCTGGTAGTTTTTTTTTTTTTTTTTTTCTTCTAAATTTATATTTTTACATAGTGATTACGTTATTACTTCCATCTCCTGTTTTGATTTCTTATTCTGTCTGTGTTCATACAATGCCTTAGTCTTTCGCTACTGTTAGTTTCATTCAGTTGTTTATCTATTTTGGTGAAATCTTCAGTATGGTCTTTGTAGAGTCATTAGGTTATTAAAACAGAAGACATGAAAAATATGCAATGCTGTCACCGGGATTCGAATGCTAGACCTCCCGATGCTTGCCAGACATGCTGTCCAATTACACCGCGAAGGCACATGGAAAGAAGAGAGAAAATACTTTATATATCTCCCTTTTAAAGGGTAACTGGGGTTGAGGGACCTACTCGCCAAATCCTGGTAGTGATGAATTATCGTCCACCACCTTTTAGTTTGGGTGCCACTTGTAAAGTCATTAGGTTTATTGATGCAGGAGATATGAATAATGTGCAATGCCTCCCCCCCAGGATCTGAACACCAGATGTTCTGATGCTAGTCAGAAGTGTTATCCAATTATACCAAAAATGCATGTGCGAATTAGGGAGAAAATATCTTATATTTTAACTATCTGTAGGGGCTGGAATACCATTTTTACTTGTACCAATATTTCTAAAAATTTGTATTTTGTTAGTTTTTCTATAAGTATTCGTAATACTAGCAAAAAAGAAAAAAAATCATTAATCAATGCAAGGAATTCATGACAGCATGTAAATACTGAAAAAATAGGGAAAATACTGAAAGCAGGAAGTTCATTTGGAGATATTTTGAATATGCACACATTTCACACACGTAAGTTACTTTCATCTGCCAAAGAAAGAATTGTGGAAAATAAATTAAAATGTGGGATGAAACAAAAATGGCTTGTGTACTCATTTAAGAACTAAAGATATTTAAATTTGTTAAAACCAGAAATAGCTCATTCTAATATTGAAAGGTAAAATGCACAGTTAATAATAATAATTGGACTGTATTCCACTAGTGAATAATTTTATTCTTCTCCTAAGTATATACGAAAAATGCCGCTAGAGGGCTGAGGTGCGTAGGTGTAGTTAATGATGTAATATATACACCCCACGTTGAAATTTCAATTTCAAATTTGCATTTACATTACAGTTCAACATTGACACAATTGACAAAGAAATACATTTTTTAAATAAATAAGAAGATTAAGTGTATAAAGTCAAATATGAAAAAATATTAAGATATACCGATGCAGTTACACTGTTATAATCAATGCAAAATGAAAATTGAATCATTCATTGGAAGCAAACAAATTTGGCTGGGGGAAAGCTCATTAGATTATGCAAGCTCTTTATTTCTTAATTTGGGCTAACGAAGTTACGAGCATTATCCGAATATAAGCAAGATTTCCTTCATCTTGCGAAGAAGCGTTTTAGAGTTGCAATTAATGCTACTGTAGATAAGTCTGATACTAACTCTAAATGAATAGCCATAGTGGTAAAGCATACAAAGATTGAGACATAAATTTTTTGAAATGTGCTCTTGCACTGACCCTTGTATTTAATTAAAAATGGGCCATTCCATAGTAATAAAATGGAGGACTAGGGTTAACTTTCTCTGCAGGTAAGTTTTCCATTTGCTGCTCAGAGAATCTGGCTTTATTTTTAAAGCACGTTTTACATTCATTTACAATTTCTTCTTCCTATTGGCCAAAACTCCTGCCTCATGCAATGTATTAACGTTTGAGGACCTATATGCAAATATTTCCTATGTAGAGATTTCATTATAATTTTAGTAAGTTTGTACCTAGTAGGCAAAAGTTTGGCATGCTTTTTGTTTTGATCAAAGTCTGCATTTTGTAAGCGTCCACCTACACTAAGGATCTCATTCTCATTCAAAAATGGGTTCAGATTACTTAATTTACTATTCTTAATTTACTTTTGTTCCTCTTTAAACAAGAAATTTCTTCACAAAATTCATTACTTTGCACTAATCTTACCAATGCATCTAAAGCTTGGTTCAATTCTTCTACTTACTACTTCCTTTTTGGGCTCCCTGGGATGTTTCATGCTATGAAAAAACCTGAAAATAAAGCTTAATAATCTACAAACTTTAGTGAAATTATTACTTAAAGATAAAAAAAAAAATTATCAATAAAGCCACAATTTGAATTAATTAATAAAACTGGGAAGCTAGAAGGTTTTAGTTCTTTTTCAAAGTCCTTATCCACTGGTGTTGCACAAGCACCTGGCACTGGAAGGTCAAAAGTCACCCAAGGAGGGCCACTTCACCATAAGGAATTGCTCAACAGTTCTGTAGCTGAGGTACCTCTGGAAATGATGTATGTAGGATTATCAGTTGTTGGAACATACCTCCAGTCAAAATTTGGGCACAAAGAATTCATCGCTTATCCCGATTAGACACAAAAGTTTTTAATCTTTCAGGAGACGTCTTGATCCAGGCTAACGCAATCGTTGAATCATTCTATAGATAAATGTAGTTGAACTGGATTTGAAGAATAACAAGCACCTTTGCCACAAGTCGGGCCAAGAGCAGCGCAGCTGACAGTTCCAGTCATGGAATGGTTAGAGCTTTAATTGGGCTAACTCTTCATTTGCTGCACAGTAGACCTGCTTTCACAGCTCTGTTTCTGGCCTCTGAGACGATATAAATCACCACACCAAAAGCTTTTTCGATGTATCGCAGAATCCACGAAGATCAATAATGACGACTTCTAATTTGTTAATTTCTGGTAGCTGTTTTAGAAATTTTAACCAGCCTTTTAACTCACTTGATGAAATGAGATCAATCCAATTGAATTTATTCTTCCACATTTCTTGAAGAAATATTTTGGCCTTGGTAGTAACTGGATTGAAAAGACCTAATGGGTCAAAGAGTCGAGTGATGGTTGAAAGGACTTCACGTTTTGTAAAATTGTTGGACAACTGTTCAGATACCTTAAAATTAAAACAATCTGATGAAGGACGCCTTAATAAACCAAGAGTCTTAACTGTAGGTTGGTCTGATGAGAATATGTATTCCTGGGTTTTACTGTCATTTAACAAGTTTGGATTATTCGTAACCCATTTATGTAATTCCATACCTTCTGCAGCTAAGAGGTTTTGTAACTCGCTTCTTCTAAGTTATTAAATCCGGATGAAATGTCATTAACATATGTGTCGTTAATTAGTACCTTCTATGCCCGAGGAAATTTCCCTTTTTCATCTTCCGCGAATGCTCACAGTGTTCTAGTCTCTAAAAATGGAGCACATGATGTTTCATAAGTTATTGTTTTCAATCTGTATATCTCCACGGGAGCAAACAGACTCGGCTTCCACAATATTCGTTCTAAGTCTCTATCAGCTCCATTCACTAGTATCTGATGATACATTTTCTTGATGTCTGCACTAAATGCATACCTATGAGTGCAAAATCTGGCTACAATAGAAAATAACTCTTGTACAGTTCCTCCATTTAACAATATAGAATTGAGCGAAACCCCATTACTTGATTTAGAAGACGCATTAAAGATGATGTGGAGGAGAGTTGACATACTCTCAGGACAAAAAATGGCATGGTGGATATAATATTCTATATTCGAACACTCATTGTCTCCAATTCTTTCTATGTGATCAAGGGACAGATATTCATCCATAAATGCCTTATATAATGTTGCCATGGTTTTATTTTTATCTAATTTCTTCCAAAGTAAGTTTAATTGTCTTTTTGCTATTTCCGTTGACGCTCCCAACGTCGGCATATTATCTTCAATTACTGGTAACCTTACAATATGTTTTCCATTTTCAGTTAGTTCTCTTGTGTGTAGAGATGAAATGCTCCTCACAGAATTGCTTTTCAAAAGTGTTTTCACTTATATTTTTAGTGTGATGACCAGGAAAGGATTCCAACTCGAAGAATTGTTTGACAGACTTATCTAAATTATCATCTTCTGAAATTAACCCAGAAAAATTATAAGAATTTGAATTTTTGATCAAACCTGTCACTAAATAACCAAACACACTATTTTGTGACAACAGTGAA